TTGAGTATTTAATATTTGAGTAGTTAATATTTGAGTATTTAATATTTAAGTATTTAATATTGTGTGTGGCCTAAATCTGTCTGTATTCTAGAGGGTATGATTCAGCCAATTATAAAAAAGTTCGTCTTCTGGAGTGTTTCCAAGCTAAAGATTTTATGCATTTCGAAGAACAGGGCCTTGAATCATATCAAATTGTAGTCTTAATAGTAGATTTTATAATTACTGACAATCACCACCTCTCAATACAGATAATACTAGCATAAGTTTTCATTTTATTGTAGACTACCTTGCGCCTGTTTTAACCCAGAAAAGAGATAAGGATATATAAAACTGAGTTTATCGGTTTGTAAATTAAATATTTACGACTATAACCATTTACAACTTATTAAAAAAAGACGTACATGGAGGACCATAAATTCACAGTTTTGTGGCTATTTTTCGAATAGAGTTCAACATGTTACACATAAAATTAGAAATACTCAATTTAATTACAAATAAAACATAATACAGCATGAAAAAATATCAACAGTATGTACAAGACAGAAACATCGTTATTTTGATAAACACCAGTTGACAGATTGTTACTTTCCACAATTTTTAAACAGTTTTCAAAAATCTTGAAAAATTCTCTAAATTGGGGACTACCTTCCATAAAATGCTTCACATATTCCCGAAATTCGCCTATTAAACAAGGAAGTGTTTCAATTTCTTCCACAACTTCAAGACATTGAGTAGAACACTGTTTATCACAAAACTCCATCACGGCATTGAACAACCACATAAATCGGGCCTCTGAGAATTTCAAGAATTCTTGCAAATAACAGCCGTTATAAGATTGGCCACTACGAATAACACACATTGGTATAGATTTCCACGATGTACATAACGAGATGTTTAAATTTTGTTTTGGAAAGTATGTAATAAAACCAAAACACATTTCATCAGTTGTGGAATCACCAAAATAAGTAGTAGTGTTTTTAGACAATGAATTGTAGGTACATGTTGTTTTAATAGTATCACCAGGGAATAGTTCTATTGGTTTATCATATCTGAAAAAATAAAGTATTGATGTATATAATTGTTACTTAAATATATATTACAAAAAAGGTTTGAATCAAATCTATTATTTTATATTCAAATTGTCACTAATATCATAGAAAAAGAATTAAAAATGCCCCTTTATCTAAAGTTCTTCCAAATTCTTTCTAACGGTAACCTTTTAAATGAAACTGTTAGTAAAAATTGCAATAACATTTTATCCAAACACATTTAGCTTGACTATCCTCCAGTAATCAGAAGAATTTTATAATGATCCCCAGTAACTATTTGACGTTTTTGGATTCAAATTATCAAATATATCATATTATGCAAATTTGCTCATTTATAAATAGTATTCAGGGTGGGTCTTACAAAATCTTTTGTTTAATCTTTTTGATACGATTTCAGGATTAACCAATGCATATAGCTCTGGGACGTATGTTTTTAAAGAAATTATCAATTGAGACTGTTTACAAAGACAGAGTAAAACTGAATATACCTGAATGTTTTAGGATTGTCATAATTATACATAGTTTCACTTGTTATATCTTGTAATCTACTACCATTTCTGTATTGTTCTATTCTCTGTGATACACCTTTAAGTAAAAATTAAGTGATGTGATTTTGTACCAGTTGTATAATAAATTATTATTCCAAATAATTCTTTTTAAACACTTGTTTAATGATTTGTTCTACTAATTACTACTA